GTCCATCTCACCTCTCCAATGCCTAATATGTCAATATTTATGCGTTCCATTTCTTTCTTAACAATTTCTAATTTTCCTACATTCATGGCTCTCACATTCCATGTTCCAATTACTAAGGTCTGCTTACAACTGTTCTAGGAACATACAAACTGGAATCCACAGTATTGTGACTGTTTTTTTAGGAGTACAAAACAACTTTGTACTACTAAATTAATTAGATATGATAGATTAAGCAACGTTCAAAAATATATGATCCGTAGCTGATGTCATCTGCTATATTCTTACCTTTTTTGAGTTTTCTATAGTAATTAATTCTCTACTACCATGACATACTTAAAGATATTAACCAATGCTTATGTCATTAATTTTCTTTCAATTTGTTTTTCTTTCCAACTCTTTAACACTTCTAATAAATACTGTTAACCAAGATTTATATGACTGATGGGTAAAAAAAATAACAAACCACCCTCAAAGTCCCGAAAACATGAACTATCCTCTATCCTGTTCAACTATGAAAGTTTAATATTAAAATTTGACATAAATTTATAAAATGGATGCAATTCAAATGAAACAAGATAAAGGCAAAGCTATTTACTCACACTACTGTCATTCCTCAAATGCACACCAAAGATTTTTGCTCCCAATCGTAAACTGCTGCTGGTGTTGCTGTTTACTGTGGAGTTAGAACCAAGCCATAGCTGACCCTCCTGTGGGTTTTCAGGGGCAGTTAATCGCGTGGGAGGAAACTGCCCATCCTTCTCCTGTGGAGTGGCTAGTGGATTTGAACCACAGGCCTTAGGTACTGCAGAACAGTTTCTTGCCACAAGGTCACCAGAGCAAAATTGCTCTTTTCTCACTATTCCTACAGCCTCACCCTGCTGTTGGCCTAGGCCATTTCTCATCTTCACTGCAAGTAGCATTTCACCAGGCACACTAGTTTTATTCCATACAGTACTCTAGCCCAAATGGTCTTAAATGGTGACATCTGAGTTTTCTCTAACCATTTCTTTGATTTGGATGTCTTTCCCTCTAACACCTGGCTGGTCCCGTTATACCAGAGAACTAGCTAGGCAGGCAGCTTCTCAGGACCTTCTTTACTTCCTGAATTCTCTACTATTATCTGTCCTTTGCCTCTCTTAGAGAAATTAGGTAACAACTCTGAGCATTCTCTAAGGGATTCTTTTCTGTATTTTAAAAACTTAGAACCTCTCATATCTAGTAAACAGTTTCTCAAACATATACGTACAAACAAATCTGTATCTTTCATGAGAAATTTAAGTACCTAAAAATAAACCAATATCCTACAGATATTCCACCTAAACTGTATAATCTCTGTTTAACCTCAGCTACCACTTGGTCTCAGATCTTTGCTGGAAAACTCTACTTAAAAGTACTTAAATATACTTGAAAATATTAAATGTTTGTTTCACAGCTCTTGCAATTTTAGGTTTCTTGTCAAAATGAATTCTTAGTTGTAAATCTCTTATGAGGAGGGGAAAATTTTAACTCACTGTACAGATCTGAGATTAAAAAAATATTTAAGAGTTTAGAAGAAAATATAAATTACTTTGAAAAAGACTCGGGAAATTTAAAAAAAAAAACCACAAACAAATAAATGCCATCCTTGCCACGAGTGATAAATCAGAAGGAAATAAATAGTGGGTATTAGGATGTATGATCTTAAAAAAGGGGGGTGAAATGTGATTATTAGAATTCACAAGTCCTAGAAAGGCAAATTCCATAGGAATGAACCTTAATTTATGACCCTAAGTAAGTGGCTTCTAATATAAAGACAACATCAGACTTAAAAGAAATATAACGAGGCAAGTGAATTGCATAACCAGTCCCTGTACTGTGCTCCACGCTCCATGCTTTCCCTTGACTCTCCCTTTGTTAGGTCTCTTCACAATTATCCCTTTCTGAACCAATAGAGACTTAGGCTGGGAGCTGAAGACTGGTTCCTCTGGGTAAGAGATACTATTCATATGAAAGCTGCTTCTGGCTCACGGAAGGGCTTAGATTTGGGGCCCAGACAGAGATACATGTAGCATCATTAGCTGTATAATAGCTTCGGGAATATAACACCTTCTCTAAATTCCAGATATCTCACCTATAAAGTGAAAATAATAACCACAGTCTGAAGACTAAATGATATAAAGCATAAGTAATGCCTAACAGTGCCTCAGTGCCTAGCATATGATACATTTAGGTGGCAGTTTATCTTTCAACAATTCATTCATCAGATTTCTAGGTTTCAGTATGAAAATGGAGAAAATGTTAAAGCCTATATTGTCTCAAAGTCCAACAGGATAAATAAATAAAATCAGGTGGGGTGGGGGAAGGTGATGGACATAGAGACTTACTAACAATTCCATTTTCTTTTTCTCCAGTTTGCAATCTGACTCTGGTGGTAGAGCCTTCATGTTTTTGTTGAGGTTTCCATCATGGGAATTCTCCAGCCCCAGCTCCTTTGGCTGGCTTTCAGTACTCTGTTGTTTTCCATCACCAGTCGGAGAGGTGAGTGTGCCAGGAGAAGGAAGGGAAGAATGAGGTTTTTGAGTATTAAATCTCTGCTTTGCTGCTGAAAGCAGCTGCTCTGGAGGCAATGAGGGTGATCCACCTTGAAGTCCAAGTTTCTGGCACTGCTCCTGAAGGGCTTTTTCTCGCTGAAGCTGTTGTCTACTTTTGTTAATGGGTCGACGCCGCTGTGATTCAAATGGATCTACATTGAGAAAATAAGAAAAAATTTGTGACAACAAAAAGTATGATGTCCCTAAGAAAATGAAACATAAACTTTTAACTTTGGTAAGAAATGACTCAAGTTCTTCTGTTTTGTCTTGTTTTTCCCTTCTCTCTCTAGAACACCCGGAAGAAAAATGACTATTTTTTTTATTGTTCAAAGTTCTCAGTTCATACCGTTAATATTTAATACCAATACCACACACACACACACACACAATCTAAAATTGCTTTGGTTCTCAATTTATCTTCAGAGGAATCCAATCTGTCTGTATGAGTTAAGAACACAATGCAAAGTTTCTATTTTGATTTTATAATTGCAGAAAGAATCAGCAAACTCTGACAAAACTAATAATCAAATATTATTTATGTCTTAAATTTACGATTTTGTCTGGTAAAGCAAAATGGCAGTAGAGTTTTCAAACGGATGTTTGTCTTAAATTTTAAGGCAATTTGATATATACATGGATGCCATCTGCATAAAAATAAGAGTGAAACCATAATTCCAGGAATGCTAGTTAATCTTGAATTTCTTTGTAATTAAAGGACACATAAGGGGCACCTAATTCAGGCCATAGTCTTCACAATTATTTGCGATGGATCAGAAAGCTGGACAATGACTAGGGATGCTAGAAGGAGAATTGATGGATTTGAGCTGTGGTGTTGGAGAAGAGTATTGAATATACCATGGTCTGCCAGAAGAATAAACAGGTTCATCCTAGAGACAGTGAAACCAGACTGTTCCTTGGAGGCAAGAATACTGAAGCTCTGTCTGACATACTTTGGGCAAGGTGCGAGGAGGGACCAGTTCTCAGAGAGGGACATCATGGTTGGAAAGGTGGAGGGACTGCATAAGATAGGAAGACCCTCCATGACATGGATTGATTCAGTGACTAGGGTAATGGGAGTAGGTGTGTCAGAGGCAAAAAGTTGGCTCAGGGCAGAGCAGGATTCAGAGCTGTTGTACATAGATAGGGTTAAGAATTGCAAACAAGCCGATAGCAATAACAACAAACTAATTTTAACAGCAAAATAAGTAAACCAATTTTTAAAAGTACTCCTCAAATTTATTGCCTTTGAGTGGGAAATTACTCATGGCTGACCCTCCAGCAGGTTCAGGAGGCTGTAAATTACATGGAAGGAGATTATACATCTTACTCCTGTGAAGCAGCTGGGGGATTTGAATCTCCAAAGAGGTGCTGCCTAAAATTTAGCAATGCAATTCCTAAATCCCAGACTATGCCCTAAACAACTGGGAAAAGGTATGTATGTATGT